CTTGTTGCATAATTCAATTGACGATGCAAGTTCGAATAACGATATGTGGGGTTTTGAGACGGAAGAATACCTGACATGGGCATTTATTGGGTTAATGAAATATGCCAAGGCATTACATAACCAATGAATCACGTGCCGTCCCGTCTGGTTATTCGTGATGCAAGGCAGCTAAGCTTAGTTCCCTACGCCTCACACGCTCCATACTCTATCTCTGCTCGACAGGCTCGACGACGACAACCCCCATTCTCCCCGGGAGCGCCAGTCTTTCTTCTTTTCCAACTCGCTTAGAGATCACCTTATTAAAGGAACCATATCCACAATGGCTGACGAATCGCTAATCGCGCCCAAGTTCGCTCCCTTTATCGGCATGGTAAGCTCCCCTTCCACCCCGAGGAAGACATCTCGAAGCTCTTAAGCCGCATGCTGACGATGCTATTAATTATAGGCCGGTATTGCAGCTGCCATGATCTTCGGCAGTACGTAGCATCCCCTTCGATCGACCCGAACTTAAACCCCGGGCATTGTGTGCTAAGATGGAAACAACTACAGGCATCGGCGCAGCGTACGGAACGGCAAAGTCAGGAATCGGTATTGCAGGCGTGGGCACCTTCAGACCGGACCTGATCATGAAGGTTCGTCATTTTCCAGACGCGATACATACTCGACCGCGCGTTCTAATCCGAAATCCCTATAGTGCTTGATTCCCGTTGTCATGTCCGGAATTATCGCCGTTTACTCTCTCGTCATCGCCGTCCTGATTGCCGAGGATATGGCCCCGCCATCACAACAAAGCTACAGTTTATTCAGGTGCGTCTTTTCGCTTAGCCACGAGCTAATGAGATGTGGCAAAGGTGGAAACTAATATTTGGGGGATAGCGGCTTCTTGCACTTAGGATGCGGAATCTCGGTCGGAATGACAGGCCTTGCAGCCGGATACTGCATTGGAATCGTTGGTGATATGGGTGTCCGCGCGTATATGGAACAGTCGAGAGTATTCGTTGGCATGGTCCTAATCCTCATTTTCGGAGAAGTCCTCGGTCTTTATGGGTAAACCCCCTACCCCGTGCCATTGTGGTGTTTGGCTGCTAATCGCATATAGTCTCATCGTTGCCCTTATCATGAACACCAAGAGCAGAGGTTGAGCTACTCAAATTCCAATGGTCACATTCTCAATTACCACCTGATCTTATGAAAGGGCATAAAGCAAACCCGGCTTGTAAGGAGCAAACTGTAATCAATAGCTGCATGGTCGATGGCGTTTCATGGGTATGTAGAACTACGGAAGGCTAATAGAACTGTTGATGCTCGGCAGGTTAAGATTTGGTCGGATTGACTGGGTCTTATTGTAGGGGAACAGGAATAAGACAGCTCGAGATATCAAAATTCGATGCATGACGTTTTTATCACATGCAAGCTAACATCGAATTTGTGTTGAATTGTTACTAAATAGGGGTTGGCTACGGTAGCCCAAAGGAATGGTAAATGAAAAGAAAGGGGTGTCCCTATCCGACATATCTCGTGCCCTTCATCCATTCATCTACATGAACACCTCACGCGTTGGAACCCAGTCGGAAGTGGAATATGTCACCTGAACCAGTCTAGTTGCCCGATTGACGCCAAAATAGCGCCGCCCAAATGCGAATGACGATGAGTAATGGAAAATGAACCGATTCATAAAAGGAGTGAAAAGAATGGGAATGCTGATGCCATCGGCTATGCTCTCAAGTCACCTCCACCCGAAGCGGAGCCAGCAAATTCGAGATTGCCGTTTCATAAATAAAAGGCCTGACGCACGTGAGGTCTAGACCGTAGTCAAGTTACCGGCCGAAACGTCGAGCAAGTCTTGGGCGGTTCTCAAAGTTGGTACTGAAGGCGCTCCAGCTTCGATCTCGTTCGTCCCAGTCCTTTGACTGGCCTGTTCATTTCGGCTTATCGTCAGCACTTGGCACCCAAATCCCGCATCGGCTATACGGCTCAAACTATTAAGGGACTCTGTTGGGGGGAATTATAGGCACAAAAGCCATAGTACGACATTTACGCACAGAAACAGCGCGTTATTAGGAAGGATGTTGAAAAGGGGAACTCACCCAGAAACCAATCCCACCGTCTCTCCTCGCGGATCAGGACGTCATCTCCGTTCTGCCTAGCCAGTCTCTCCTGTCTCGCTCTCGCAGCCGCCTCCTCGCCAACCAGGTACGGATCTTCCAGAGGTCGGATCTTATCTTCATCTTCCGCCTCGGCTGCGGCCGCTGCGTTGACACGGTCCACCGCAGAGCGCAGGGCACTCTGGACCCCAGACCAGCCGTGCCTGCTGGTGGCGGCGGACACGCGACGGTGGGCTACTCGTTGGTAGTGGCGTGCGGTCGGGTTGCTATGCATGGACGACCAGGTGGGGATCGAGAAGTGGTTGAGGTGCGGCATCTCGCTGCGGCGCCGCGGCGAGGGTATGCGCGGCAGACCTGCACCCGGCGCAAATGTCGAGGTCATGGGCGTCGGTGTCGAAGACACGTTGAGCATGGAAGACGACGCCGCATAGCGGGGCGGTGAAGCCAGCGACGAGCCTCGCGGCTCCGGGGGCGTGTATTCCGGGACGCTCTCGTTCGTCGGCAACATCGAGTGGTATGATGGTGCTTCGGAGACTAGAATAAGTCCCTCGGTTAGCAACTCCCTAGAGTGCCCCCCTAGGAGTTGGTAGAGTAGATAGATGTCATACTGTAAGACGGAGCGGCTGAGCGGATAGAGGCCGTCTCGAAGTCCTCAGCGCTCAGACGGTCCAAACGGGTCAGACCGTTCTGGATAGCAGTTTCGGTAGCCATCGTGTTAAGTGGGAAGTGTAGATATTTCAAACCAAGCGTGGTGAGGCGAGTAAATGTCAGGGAGGGAGATTCGGTGAGAGGACTCTGCGCATCTGGTCCAACAGCTCCCTTATCATTCAAGCCCGTCGCGCAAAAGGAGTACCACGGTAAGGTTGGTAGGAAGAAAGTGAATCAGTAAGTCGTAATCATGTAGTCAAGCACAATGGCAGATCAGTACCAGATATCTTCCAAGAGAGGCGCCTGGACTGCCAAGGTAGGTTTGGAGTGGTAGCCCGACTTAGAAAAGCGCATGTAAGTAGGGTTCACAATGGACAAGGCGCCAAGTCACGATGAGAGGCGAGCACACCACTACTTCAGCACACGTCCCGGTTCCAGGCTAGATAAACCTTGGAAGGAAGTAGTTGTGGTGTACTGTACGGGCACACGTGAGGGGTGCAGAAGACGGCTGCCAGGATAGGGAAGGTATGGGAGGACAAGAACGGGAACGAGGAAAGGGAGGGAGGCCACACATCCCACCCTGCCACCCACGACGGCGGATGGGGTTTACATATGCACAAGTTCCCTATAGGTGCTGGTTCGGTCTTATTGGCCTCGCTGTTCTTTGCTGCCGTGCTACCTTCTCTCCAGGTTTGACCTGCGACCTACGGCCTGCGTCACGATAGCCATCCGTGGGACCCGTGAGAGCCCCGGCCGTGGTCTTCCGTGGCACAGATTCAACTACTGTAACAATCTGCAGGAGTTTCCATCTTGAACTCTGGAGTCTGAAGAACTACTTTGCCGATACCCGATTGTGGTGAGGGGAGTAAGGTGGAGGGTGGGTTGGGGACAGAGACAAAGAGTCTTAGTACTGTACATTACGACAGCTCAGCTGCTCCACTATACCTTGCTTGAACGGAGATCCGTCCGTCTCATTAGGCACAACTTTATCTTATCGGCCCCGCCACTCCTAAGCTATTGGGTGAGGGGTATCGTGACGAGGCCTGGAGAGCCCTACTAATCGAGACTGTGTTACTGCAAATGGGCTGATGGACACCTCCTGCAGTAGGAGCTGGATTGCTGTGAAGAGACCCCTGATTTAGATGGATATCTGTACTTGAAGGTACCTACGTGTTGAAGTCCCCGCTGCTTTAAGCCAGCACAGAGCTCTCCTTTATGTCGGTGTATCTCTAATGCCCAAATGTCCGTTACCCGACGGTTACGTCGTAACAAATTGATGGCAGTAGACACATGGTAGGAAACGGACCTTTGGCCAACCATACTAAGCAGGTCGTGTCGATGCGGCTCTTCAATATCTGTAGAGGATACGATATGTAACTCTTGACTAGGTTGATACACACTTGAATCAGAGGTTTGTCGTGTCGGAAATATGTGGGTAAGTCAGTAATTCGTGGGTCGATAGTCACATCTCACCCACGCAGCCACGACGCACGCGACATCTTTATCACATAAATTGGCTGCCGTAGCTGCCGTTCTTTAGGTTCCGGTTTGGTTCCGGCCTAGCGCCGGCCATCATCGCATTACTGTCTGCGTGCTGACCCGGGCGCCGGCACCGTCGGAAGGACGTGCCTGCGATGCCGGTTGGTTACTACTACTATATCGATAACTACCCGGCGCCGGGACCCAAGGCCACTCTTCGAGGCCCTGGTGCTTCTCGAAGATGTGGCATCGTAGCGTCGGTTGATGCTTGCTTATGAAGAACCTCTTCGCAGCACGCTGCCGTCAGCTTACCGCGTAAATCCTCCGGACGGTATCGGTTGTGTCCCGGTGCAGGGCCTAGGGAAAGAGTTATACATCAGCCCTTCTCTCCGGGAACGGTGTCGCGCTATTAGGAGTAACATCATCTCGTTACTAGGTTATCTATCAGTAATGGCGACGAGAAACTACACTTATTTCGTTCGGACGGAGTACGGGTGGCTGCACCCATCCGATCTTCACCTATGAAGACAAAGGTCTAGACCTATCTGAAGGCTGACTCCCTAAAAGAATCTCTAAAAGAATCCCCAAAAGAAAATCAAGCTGGCCGAAGTGTAGATGTCAGGATGTCGTGGGCATACAAATCGGAAGATTTAAGTCTTTGATGATCGCGGACGCAACTGGGTTATGAACAAAAAAAAAAACCCCCCCAATTTCCCCTCTTAAGTTGAGCAAATACCTAGTATCAGTAGAGAAAATATGAAAAAGTATTGCGGTGAGTGTGGATCGAACACACGACCTTCAGATATCACGACTCTCGTCGGTGACGAACTTGAAGTTGAACTTCAGTCTGACGCTCTCCCAACTGAGCTATCCCCGCTGATGAAGTTTTGACTGGCAGCTCGGTCTATATACAGTACGAACAACGCAGTCCAGGCCTTGGGCTTCAGCCTGTGGGTATCCGCTGGCAAGACATTTTTCATTGGACGATGGTCAAAGGGGGCTCCAGTTCTCCAAACAGGTTTGTGGGTGCGGGGATATTCCCTCGGCGTTTTTCTCCTTAGAGAAGAGACCTCGGGACTGTCACTCTTACTGCCTCTCTGTGTTCTTTGTATGTTACAATCCGTTCCGACAAGAGTTTATCTAAGAGGCACAGTGCATTTTCACTGAGACGGGTAAAGTTATAGTATCTATCTACTGGTGCAAACATATACTCACAGGTATCTCTCAGGCATTTTGCTTAGAGAAGAAGACCTGTGGCTTGTGACAATCGTAGGGGGGATTGGCATTCTTCTTAGAAAATTATCCGACAGATACGCGAGGATATATTTCTAGACCGGATGGTTTCCTATCTCGGTGCGTTCTATATAAAAGCAGCGATGACGCCAAGTCCGATTTGTTGTAGACAGTGCTAGAGTTACATATGGGAACTTGTAACAAGAAGACTGGCTACGTCGGCTCTCTTTTGTACACGATGGGGCTTATCGGACATAGATTATCGCGATGTTGGCGGGGTTGATTTTGCCTATAGACAGGGATACTTTCTACAGTCTACACGTATCATAAACATATCTTGGTTTGTGTCGACGATGGGCCAAAGCACAATAATACCGCATTTTCTGTTGAGGTTTGAAACATGACAGCATCGATGACTTCAAAAGTATGGTACGAATCGTAATGGTAATATTTATTCAGCAATGGCGTGGCTTCGTGTTGCGTGCTTGCGCATGCACTACATACTCAGGCATATGTAGGTCCATAGAGTACAACGTTTGATGGTTGGCCGCCCTGGCGTTCCTGGCTAAAGGGCTCATGTACAATACCTCATAAGGTACTCTGCATGTCCTACCTAGTGATGCGCCGCGGCCCGCATAGAAACCTGCTCAAGCTTGTTTGAGAAACGAGACAGCTCATCACTCATAGTTGTACCTGCTTATACATTCTTACGCCCGGCCTCCTATTCGAGTATTTCTAAGATGTCGGTGTAAAAGACAGAACTCGAAGTCAGTTGGACATTGCAATGTCCCTCATTCATACAAGTGAGAGAAAGAACATGCCCAGACACGTTCTACCTTAGATATTCGGCCCAGGAGATAGGTGTCACAGCCGAATCTACTTGACCTGGAGTACACGCAGATGTACAACTACAACTCCCACACTTTTCGGGCCAAGAACCTGTCCCGACTTCCCACGACTTATCTCCAATCGACGATGCATCAGAACACAGCCTCACAAACTACGCTAGGTACTTTAGGCCTGCAGGTCTAGATCAAGACGACCAGTACGGCTCGTGTTTCCTTGTTCCTGAAACGATGAACTCCTGCAGCTCGGCAGTAACCTTGGGCTCTACTAACCATTAACGATAACCTCAAGCTCAAACGTGGATATCCGGTGTTCGTGTATTTCCTTATCAGGTAAATAGTCACCTGCATCTCTCGCGTGAGGCCTAGTCCGCAACCCTCATCGACTTCATATGACTCTCCATGATAACTGTTCAGCGCATGACCCAGACGAGCTAGGTGAGGTAGGATAAGGATAAGACATTGCAGATTATTGATCATCGGTAGGTTAGTAAATCTCTAAGAACTCGAATATCTTTCTCAACGCTATCTCATCCCCTTCTATTGTCCCGCTTGACTCCTGATCCACCCAACAACCCTCGGTCCATCCACCCCCAAAATCAACGACCCAAGCATCGTCAGTATTGCAGTCGATCAATACATTAGAGGCCTTAGCATCACCCCGCGTGACGCCAATTTGGTGCAACAGATGAACCGTCTCTTGAACTTGCGATGCCCACTTTTCCCTCCGAGTCTTCGCGATCGAAGAAACCGTTTCTATGTCTCGAAGTGTGGACAGCTCCCATTCATCCGCGCAGGGGATATAGGTCTGTAGGAATCCAATGATCCTCTCGCTATCAGGAGCATGGACTAGGCCAAGGAGCTTCGGTACACGAAGGACGTCTGCATGCTGAGAGGCGGTAATTTTCCAGAGACAGGATAATTCCCTCTCTGCACGGCTTCGGCATGCAGTTCACCCCCAACCTTAGAGCACATCTCTTGTCCCCCTGCTAGCACTTGGGTGATGTAGCCATCACCAAGAAGCTTTCGGAGAACGTGAATATCCTTAGTGGAGAATCTAGGTAAATTTATGTCCTGATGGACTTGGAGTTGGAGCTCTGGTGACTCTCCGTAGATAGCTGCATGGGGAGCAGTGTCCTGAAGCTCATCGTTAGGGATCAACTTCATCTTGTTGTCCACGGTGCGGAAGAAAAACGCATGTTCGGCCGGGAAGAGAAGAGAATGAAGATCGGACGGGACGGGAATGCCAGGGACAGGACGTGGGGCTAGCCGATCAAAGAGCGGTCTTCCAACTTCGACAATGGCGTCCAAAATCTGGTCAGTCATTGCGTCCTCTTCCTCTGGATCTCCAGTGTCGATTGCGGCGTTATATTTTTCGATCAGAGAATCCTCCGCCGAATTTCCCTCCGGAGAAGGGTCGAGGTCCACAACTAGCCGTGCATTGTTCCAGCGAATTGACAAGGTGATGCGGTCTCCGCATCCGCTGGATATAGACTCGATATAGTGGGTGCTCACTTCATAACCATCTTCATGACCATCTATCGAGGCCATTGTGGGATGACTTATTCTGGTGAAGCTCATAAAATGTTTGAACCCAGATTGCTCAGGAAAGGTTGTCTAAAAACAAAACGTGACTCATATTTGTTGGTAACCCCATTCCCCCATGTCCCAGTTGTATGCACGTAGCCCTAACCAAAACCAACAGTATGAATATTACAAACAGGAAACCCCCTCATGCAGCATGCAAGGGGCGATATATCTACCAAAGTCGACGCTGGTAGTAGACCGGTTCATCGCCCTCTGACAAGCGTCGGATATCCTCTTTGATCTGGCGCCTCCTCTCGGCCCGACTGACCGGCTTCTGTGCGTTCGCCGTACCGTCTCCATCCTGCATTTTTTCTCCACGAGATCCTGCAGCCTTCTCGGGCGTAACCTGTTTTTGTTGCGCCGGCTTCTCGTCCGGAAACGTGGGCCGCACGATGATGATGTCGTCCTCGCCGGTCGTGTCTATCCTGTGACGAGACCCGAGTCGCGGGTCGTCCAGCGTAACTACCGTTCCGTCCTCGAGCTCCGTGGTCGCTGTCTTGAAGCGGTCCGGCAGGTAGACCTTGGGGCTCGGCCGGGGCTCTCTGTTGGATATGATGGCCCGCCGCAGGTCGCGGAGGGTTCGCTGCTGGATCGCATAACCGCTGAGGAATAGTGCCGCGGTACACAAGACAACTGTTCATTCCAGACAACCTCGATATTAGCCGGTTGATCTTCCATGTTTATTTTATCTTTTGCGGGGGTTTTAGTTTCACCGTACCAATTCCTGATGAGATCAGAACCGAGACTTGCGACGACGTCAATAGCATCCTCCTCTCCGATGGTAAGATAGCAGTTTATATATAGGTACCTGATAAAACTCAGAAATTCATTTATTAAACAAAAAGCCCAAAATAGCTTTTGAAGAGTGCAGCTCAATTATTGAACTGCTTAGATCGTGGTGGTGTAAGCTTGGGTTTAAAACGCTTCTTCCAAGGTCATTTCCTGTTTTGCCCCGACCCTCGTATCTCCCCGGCAACCAGAAGCAACATCATCGGTCGGCGTCCGGCTTGGCGATCCGATCCGATCCGATCCGATCCCAGATCTTTGGTCGAACGAATGCAACAACCTCGCGCGCAATTTTATTGTTTACGTTGCAACCAATATGTCCAAATCGAAGAATTGGATCTAACAAGTCTCCAAGCAAACAGTTCTGTTCTGGTGGATTGTCTCTCGTCGTGTTACGCAGCGCCTTTCACCTCAGTGCATGGATTCGGGAGTATCATGAGGAACCAGCAACACTTCAGCTCCGTACAGCTTTTACCTTCTTGTCCCAGGAAAACTTCGCTTGTTGAAGCACTTTAGATTGCACAGTTTGCTGCTAGTCTCGCCGCTGCATTGGCCTCTCAACTCGCCTATTTAGTTGTGCGGCAGCTCAGTTATGCTTGATATAGCCATCCAGAAGCACTCAGTGACATCACTCAGGTGCCGAATATCCGGTACCGAGAACTCTTATTTCCCCGGTCAGTAACTCACGCCGGGGAACTCTTACATACATAAAATGGCGACAGCAAGTTGCCGCCATTGCCGAGCAATGACATGATTATATTCATCTACGGAGCAGCAGGCACTGCCTGTAAAAAATCGGTAGCGCCATTCCGAGTATTGCTGAGTTAGTACAGATACTTCAAGTTTCCATATGTGTCTTATTTTGGGCTGGAGTCGAGTTTGGTGTTCATGCGCACGCACCTCCGCAACATCTACGTACAATGAACGGCTTCAGACGCCGTCTTGTTCATATTGAATATATATTGTATCAGTACCATACCCTACCACGTACGACCATATGATCTGGAAAATTCGGGATCCCGTCCGCTCTCCCATCGACAAGCCAGATACAGCCGGATTAGTAGTTGGGTCGGTGACGACCAGCGAATCCCTGGTGTTGTACGTTTTGTTCAACTTTTTTGTTAGTTTCCCCTTTCCCCCTTTCCCCCCGTTCTATGATAGTAGCAAGTAATAGTATCCTGGAGTGCAGGTTCTAGCCCTGTCTTTTCTGGGAATAGCAGCTGTTGCTGTACAAAGGATGCCGCTACGGAAGAATCACCAAGAGCTCGTTCGAATAGGGGTATAGACTTTATTGTAAGGAATGATATGCTAGCATAGAGATATTTCGAACCGATGAAAACCTCTCATCCTCTACGTTCGCGAGGATAGAATAACCTAGAACCGCGCCCCCACCACTTCCATTCCACGTACCGCTCAACTCCGGTGA